ACATGTAACTATACAGCACTCGACACAGCTGAGCTTACAAGGCAGCGGAGGCTGCATTTGCTTGCTGGACAAGCAACTGACGGTCTTGCACCACATCATCCGACTCTGTGTGCACACACAGGCATAGTAAGAAGGGTCAGACGCAGGTGATTTATTGATTAGGTAAGCACATAGCTTTTACCACATTGTCACCATTGCGCCTAACTGAGTGTGGGCGAGTAACCTTGGAATAGAATGAATCTTCAGAATATCTTCACAAAAGGAAGATGCAATTGCATGCAGTACATCCACTGACCTACGACCACTTCAAATTCTATGAATGCCTGTAACACGTACCTGTAACACCCGAGGCATTTGAGCTCGATGCCCCTTGCCCGCATTTGCAGGGTTCTACGGTTTCTGTAAGAAAAGGCATGGGAAATGAATATAGAATCACATTTTTTTTTATCTGACTGCAGTGTAACAATGCTATGGGAGTGAGTGGAGCCTATTTGATTTCTAGGTGCCCCAAATAGCACCATGTCCTATTTACAGCATTACCCACTGATATTGTGGCTGAGTTTTGTGTCACCTCATCAAATTCTTAGTTAGATATAGACCGTTCCATTAGGGTCATAGCAGAGAGGGTAAAAAAAGAAAAAAAATGCCCTTTCCCTTCACCCGCGTGTCGCCCGCTCCGCCAAGTGGGCTGTACCTAGCATCCGGCTGGCGTACGAACTCTGTTTCAAATCGCGTCATTTTGGAAATTTCAAACGCAGATTTGGGTATGCCAGTTATCGTATAATACTATGCTAGATAAAAAGACTAACAGGGTCCAATCGCGCTGTAACCTGCGTGCAAATAAAAAAAAATTTGGGAAAACTGTGTCAGATTGGCCGGTCTCTCCGGCGAAAAATAAATCCGGCTGCTGTACCTTTTTTACTATACAAAGTTTGTACTGGTGCAGGCCTTTAGCGACCATGAGTGGAAGTCTGAAATAATAAATAAAAATGTGCTCTCCTGCCGCAATACACGCAGTAGTTGAGGGTAGTATTGCTGGCTGACTAAACTGCTAATTAAGTAAAGGAAAAACGATAAGCTAGTTGATTGTTTACTGAAAAATAACAACAGAGAGCTCTAGGCTGATTTTGGAGTAGCCGTAACTATTCTAAGAACGTGAACCACATCATAACGGCAGCCACGAGTAAGAGTTCGATGTTCTGCACAGCCCAAAGATGGAGGATGGAAACCTCCCGGTCTGTCGTCTGCTAGCGGAGTCGGGCGCGTGCCCTCTCTCTCGTTTTACCCCGCTGAACCAAAAACCCACTGAATTTCCCGGATGTATGGAGAGGGCACTGCTGTCGAACAAAATGGTGCCGTCCAGACAGCGCTAAATGGAATGGTCTATATGCACCACATTATGCCAGTCGAGAAAGGCATCCGAGGCCGAGATCACATAACAGTCTTACGATGAAAAACGTGCATAAGAATTCTACGACAGCTTCCAAGCTGTCTTGGGAACTCCTTAGCGATCAACGTAGCCACACATCGCCTGAGTGACTTGAATGCTTTGCCGCGACAAGCAAGGGGCATTTGTTATGTGTGCTGCTCTCATGCGTCCTGACTTCAACAGGGGAAGAAGAGAATGAAGAGCGTGAAACTACACAGGCAGGATGCAGCCCAGGTTTCTGCTGAGCGACCGAACTCGTCTCAATTCCCCAATTAGGCATAGACACGGCTAGCGTGACGCGCCTTGATGAACCAATGCAAGTGGTGCCCGTAATACATTGAGGGAGAGTTTCCTTCCTTCTGCTTGTTGGTTGACCTTTAAGTATCCTTGGGCCAGAGTAGTGCTACTACACCCATGCAAAGTGAAAAGCTTTCCAGCAATACAAAGGGGGTATCTAGAGGCTCGCACCGAAGCCTCTAGATACCCCCTCGGACGAGCAAGTTGTATTTCGCAGGGCTTGGATGAAGGCCGCCCTCTCCGAGCAGCTCAGATTCCGCTCATTTAGTTTGGCGCTAAAAGCTTGCGTTCCTTCTCGGGAGAAACTGCGGGTGACCACACTGAACCGCTCTCCGCCGCCACCGCCAAGGTTGGCCGCCACAATGTTCTCAGCTGTTCACTCGCTCCCGCAGCGAGCGCTGTCCCATAATTCTCCCCGTTCCAAAATGCGATGCGTCCTGCCGTTACATGGGTTGAGTGAATGCGTATTCGCCGTCTCGATCCACCTCTGTCTAGCGACTTGAATGCGATGTGCTTCCTTAGCGCATTATGCCCTTTACATGACCGCATTGAATGCGACAACTGGATTCGATACGACTAAGTCGCATTCACGTAAACGAGACTTATGTGAACATTACTGAATATGGTATAATATACTGTACAATAATAAAAAATTATCAAATAACATACCTTGCTTCCCTTGTCCTCAAATATTTTCGGAACCACCATCCGGGACTTTTTGCTGAGTTCCGTAATCAGAGTCTCTTTTGAATCTGCGATCCAAAAATAGATATCTTTGAGGCATTGACGCAAGGCAAAGACCAACCACCAATAAGCAGCTGGTCAATCAAAATAAAAGTAATGGCTTATTGGAATTACAAAAATATGTAGTGCCTAGAGTACCGTCCGACGGCACTCTTGCAGAGCGTTCAAGTGTCGTCCAGGTACTCCACTCACACGTTGAAGTGCCGTCCAAAAGTTTAGTGTAAAACGCATTGTCAAAACAAAATTTTCAAAGCGTGGTAAGATGTCTGCCTCAGTACAGGCTTAATTTTTTTTTTTCTGTCGAGCATTTTTTTTTTATTTTAATTTACGATTAACACTGAAAATAAACGAATGTTGTCGACGAAACTTCGCTGAACAAAACAATATGTGACTTCCTTTTCGGAGGTGCATGGGGGCCGGCGGGGCGGGGCGGGGGGGGGGGGGGGGGGTCGGACGGCACTGTAGACTACAGCCTTAAAAGTATGGGCTTATAATATCCACAGAACGGATAGGAACAAAGAAGTTTAGGAGCCAAGTTACATCATAGGCTAAGCCCGAGATTATTCCGATTTGTTACAGCGCTGTAGAGGGGCAATTTCGTTAATGCTCTACGGCGCCTGAAAGTCGGTCGCGGCCTGAACATCGGTTCATAGTTTATAGGTGTTCATTTACACAACTTCCACACAGCCAAGTGCCGGGCTGTCTCCTCGGCAGGGAACAGACAGGGAACATCTCGACCTTACGGTCCGCCAGTTCCAGAATGAAAAGATAATTATTCTCATGGCGCACAAAGCTCTAAATGACCAGGCAACAAAGCAAGACAAAAAAAAATTAGTCGTTAGAAAAGACGATTTCTTACCTCCAAGGAGTACGACGTTTGCATCGTAATATCCCTCTTCTTCTCCATCACTGCCGCACCAATACGCACTAACAACTTTCTGAGGTATGTCTGAAGTTCATTTTGGAGCAAAATTCTCTATTAGGGAGACCGGCATTATCGCTCGGTGATTATCTTTGTATTTAACAAGCGCAAACATAGCGAACGGTTTAAGGTAACTTGCACAAAGAACTTGACCAAAACAAACGCGTAAGTGCCAGCACGTGCATAAACCGGGCTATGACCTTGGCTTGGATTGGATATGCAAGTATCTAAATTCGGGCGGCGTAAAAAATTATTTCCACGATTAAATACTACCCATTACAAAAAGCATATACTTGGTTCTAAAAGTTAATTATTACAGTAATATTATGTCATTGCTCTTAAATGCGCATTTGTTTCTACTTTTTTCGCTAAATTATTGGTTTTGATTTGACCCAGTTGTCTGTCTTTCCTGTAAAGCGCAGCGTATTCTGGGTGATTCTGGCTGTTTCAAAATAAAGTTTCGACACTAAAATCAGGAACTCAACGTATCAAATAGAAACTTACCTCGAATACGTCTTTTACTGGTCCAATTTACACATTTAAATTTTAAGACTCAATTCCTGTTAGAAAAAAAATAAAAAAGTGCCCCAAATGGATTTGTTATTTTTTTTATTTGGTTTGCACGTAAAATAGAGACTTGCATTTTTAATTTGTAAATGGTAGTAGTAAATAACGTATTTGATGCAAGTTTCAACTAGGTACGTTCAGTAGCGGATTTTTTTTACATGCCATTATTGAATACGTCTTTTACTAGTCCCATATAAAACATTTACACAACTTACCTCGAATACACATTTTTCCTGTCGCGTTTACACATGAAGATTTCAATAGACTTCTTCCAACATCGAAGCGTCCCAACGTGACGAAATACCACCCAGTGCACTAGCCACTCAGTTTCGGTTTCGATTAAGCAGCATCATTCCTTGTCATCACACCGTGGCCGAATACGCTGCTTGCGTTTTCGATTATCTGACTTTTCACGAATGTACAATACCCTCATCCCCGAGCGATACAAAACGAATACCGGGGCACTTTCTTTGGTTCACGAAACGCCGGATATTGTGCGTGCGTATACAAACGCAGTAAGACGTGGCTTAGCCACCTTACCCCACGATTGCATCTTTGAGCTCAATTTCAATAATCCTGTCTAGTACCAGTGAACCACAACAGACATTTGGTCACCATGAGCCCTATATGTACTTTTTTTGCCAAACGTCCGCTTCTTGTTACTTCATTCGGCGAAAAACCAGCAGCATCCTCACAGGAGTATCAAAGTTGAGCCCTGCGTATTTGTATTTAGGGTATTCAGAATTCGTAGTCATTGAGTAGCTAGGTGACGCTAAACGTCGTCCATTTAAAAAAAAAATAATTAACCCCTACGCATACACGGCTCTCATATACGGCTCTGACGGCTCTGTGGTTTATCTATCCAGCAATGCTCGCGACCGTGACGTTGGCGCTGTCTCTATGTAGGCTGTGGTGAGCCGTTGGTTGTGCTCTCAACGCGGCCACGCGGCGTTGAACGTTTTTTTTTTTTTTTAATCGCAGTTGGGCTTTTTTTTTCTTTTCTTGTGCCTCCTTACGTTGGTTCATTCATCTTCTACCTACATGGCGGACGCGCCGCCAACGCGACGCAGGCGGCTGGTGTACATGGAGAAGGGTGGATCTCCTTCTATCCCCAAGTCAACGTTGTGTCGCATGAGAAAGGAAGGACTAAGTGGCCTCGGCAGCAGCCAGGACAGTGGCGATGCAGCCTCCGATACCTGCGATGTCGGCTCCAGCGGACATGATACTTCAGTGGGGCATATCTCTGAAAGTGACATTGCAAGTGAGAGGCTGGAATTGAGCGACGTAGATGTCGAATCGACAAGCTTCCCGAGTGCAGAACCAAGCGGCGGTGATCTTCCTCGAGCTGGTGCGGCGACAGGCACAAATGCACTGACGTCCGCCCTCAGAGAATTGGGCAGGGAAGGCTTACCCCACTCTTGTACCACCAAGGGGGAAGCAGTTGCCATGGTGATGTCATTAATGGTTGCTGGCGGGCTAAGCTGGGCCGACATCGACAATCTCCTAGTAGTCATAAATGCCATGTTTGCACCAGCTGCAGATGTTCTGCCTCGAAGCAAGTATTTGTTCAGAAAGTTATGGACAAAACAGACTGATGCCCTGATCCAGTATCATTTCTACTGCACATGCTGCTCTGACCGCATGACTGGAACACCTGACAGTGAAGAATTGATGTGCCGAACCTGCAGTCACCGTACCAGTGCTCGGCAACTAAAGAATGAGGGTGCCTTCTTCGTGACGCTAAATATGCATGACCAGCTGCAGCATGTAATAACAAAGACCAAGACATTCCTTCAAGACGCCCTGACAAAGGTTCCCCCTCCTCCTGGTGATATCTCTGATGTCACAGAAGGTCGAGCCTGCCGGGAGATGAGAAGTTCAGGGACATTGAACAATGATGATGTCACACTAACTGTAAACACGGATGGCAGCCCAGTGTTCTCATCGTCGGGCGCTTCAGTTTGGCCTATTCAGTTTCTGGTGAATGAACTGCCTGCACCGGAGAGGTTCAAGCACTGTACACTTGCGGGGCTCTGGTTTGGGAAGGGCCATCCTAACATGGACCTCTTTTTGGAACAGTTTGTTGATGGACTCAACTCCATGGATCCTGTGGTGTGGGAGCATGACGGGCTGAGTCATGCCTCTCGGGCGTACATCCTGTGCTGGTGCCTGGACGCCCCCGCAAGAGCAGCTGTGCAGAACTGCACTCTGTTTAACGGGTACATCGGGTGCCCGTGGTGCCTAACAAGAGGGGAGCACCTGGATGGTAAGACAAGTAGCTCGCTGTAGAAAACATTAGTAGATTATTTTTTAATCTAGACATGTACAAAGTATGTTTAAGGCCGGTTCAGACATTTGCATTGACTGCACTGCATTAAGTTGTGTTCCATTATGCTTAGTTGCCACAGTAACACGTCGTACACTGCTACCCAAACTATTCTAGCCTGCAAGCCGCCAAGTATGTAACTAAGCTTGCCTTGATCCCTCCTCCATGACAGCTACACATATACAGGCTGCGGCTGGTGCTCATTAAAATCATATTTCTTAAAAGTCATTGTTTCTTGCAATTGTCGCCAGCCTCTGTCAGTGTTCTCAGCATTCTTTCACTCAGAATGCCACCTTCATCAGTCAGTTTTCAGACAGTAAAGAAGTCAATATAAGCCATAGGAAAATCTTGCATATCGTTTTTTGTTTATTACTGCAACAGAAGCTAGGGGGATACTTTGCAGTTTCGCGCCGTCGGTTGCGCTTCACTTTCGGCATTCTTCCCAAGCACTCCTTGTTGCCACTTAAGGACGTTTGCATGGGTGTCTACGGGGCGGTGCTAGCATCTCAAACGATTATTCACGGGAGCGGCAGGTGACTCTAATGTAAGCAGCTATGGGGACGTCATCCAATGGTTCTTTATGTAAATGCATTGCGGATGACTCGCACACGTAAAGTATGCTCTGCATCCGAGAAGCAGAACTTAGAGCGGAAAAAGGAACGAAATCGACAACATTGGCAAAATTCCGAAGTGCGTGCAGGGAATGCCACTCATTGCGACTCAAGCGGCAATCTGATGCATATCCGGTGTTTTGGACCCCAGAATGCGCAGCGAAGAAAGAGAGATGGCGGTCGGATCCCAAGCTTTGAACACAAAAGCCTAAATAGCCGATAAATTTTTCTTAGACTTCACCACCTCTACTTTTTGCAAAACGACGTTAGCGTGGCAAATTTAAGGTAGGCACGTTAGAAACTCGACTTTTGCAAGGCCTGCCAGATATGCTGGTTTTAGGGTCATGCCCTGTACATACCTCCTGCAACTTTGAAAGTCTCTCCATTTTGCCACCACAAACGTCTGGATTATACAATGAAAGTGGCACTGCATGATGCACCAGCGTAGACGACGTAGCCTGGGCCATTGTTTTTTTTTTTTTTTTTTGTGTCATGCCTGGAAGCTTGCATGTCACTGTGCTCTTCTAATGCAGAAAAAGACATTGGGGTCCGCGTCTACGAGCTCTTTGCTATGCAGAATAGCATGCAGCATGGCTCAAGAATGTTTTTTTTTAATTTGGTCCCGACCACCCCCTGGGAGTAGCGTGCCACAGTTTGGGAAGCACTGTCGTAGTAGCGTCTCGTCGCAAGTGGTTGTAACTCAATCCGTCGTACTTCAACAAATGTCTGAACTGGCATTCACCATTCAGGTTCACAGCGCAACACTGTTATCACAAACAAGTAATCACCGAGTTTTGCTGTTCAAAAATTATATTGCTGCTGTCAAAACTACCTGTGTAGTGGAGACCACTTATTTCGAGCTTCTGTGTCAGCGTACCTTGATTCGGCAAAATGTGAAAGAGCGCTAATACCGTGTTCGTGCTAACTGTGTCATGCAGTGTATATCCAGTCTAGATACATTTCATTGCAAATACCAAATTTGAGCATACTGTATTACACTAGTGCTTTGGCTTTGTGCCTGAATATGGTAGCTCATTGGTTGTCGGCTGTTGTTGTGCAAGATAAGATATTACCTTGCTGTAGCATGTTGGTGTTTCGTGCCTAATGTCATGAAGCGGTACTGGCGGTGGAACTCTTTGGGGGATGGAGATTGGGTGGCGGAATGGGTAGGCGGGAACGGGGTTTAACCGCCTCCTTCCCTTCTTTTGTTTACTATAAAACTGAAATGTCTGGTAAGACAATCGCCGCCCCCCTCCTCCCCCCTCCCTTTTCCAATGCCACTGTGAAGCGGACTGTGGAGTGTGTGTCCTATCGATTTCATGGTAGGACTGTTGCTAAGTCGTCTACATTTTGATGTGACAATGTCTTACATGAAGTACGAAGGGGTGCATGCAGAAAAAGTTCATGCATCGGAAATGGACCTTGTTTATCGTAACGTTACGTCCGGCTCGGAATTTTGACTCTGGGTGCGCCAGTAGTAAATCGCTGTGATGGGCCATTGTCGGCTATGTATTCTCAATCAACTGCTCACATGTCATTGTTTGCCCGTGTTTCTAAAATAACATAATTGCTTTCTATGGTACTTGAAGTGCAAACGCGCAAAGAGACCATGTTTTTTCAATGGGCTATAGGCGAAACTAGAACGCCTAGGTGCATCCTGGGAGTGGGAGCATGCAGTGTTTCAGTTTTCTCGCAGTGTGCATCTATCGTCTGTTTTTATCTCGGCAACACCTTTGACGCTGTTGACGGGCATTGCTCCACGTTCACACTTATGCACTAAGCATTCTTTTTTCTCTTGCCCGTATCAGATAGTAAATAACAAAACAATTGTTTCGTTAATAATAATTCATAAATAATGAAATTTTACATTCACATGTAAAATTTTGATTGAAGCAGACACCTCAATACGCCACAACGACGGAGACAAGAAAAATTAGATCGACTTACTATGAACTCTGTACTAACTCGCTGCATGCATTTGTTTGCGACCTTAAAAACACCCACTAAGATTAGTACGTAATCATGTTTATTTTTGCTCAAAGGAAATGTACTACCACAGCATGAGCAGCTACGTAGCCAATGCTCCCATGGCAATCAAAGCATGTCTGCTTGAGGCTACTTCTGAATGTAGGCTTGCTGCGAACCACACTTTATGTGAAAATCGGTATGGTCGATGGCAAGATTTTGACTTTGTTATTTGTTATCACATTCTGTCAAAAATGGCACATTTTAATTTTGTCCCCATTGTAATCTTGCAGGAAGCATGCGGTACACCAACCTGCAAGACACGACCCCCCGGACATCTGCAGGTGTCCTTAGGGACATGAAATTGGCCCTGAGCTTGGGCGGTACCTTTCCCGTCAATGGGTACTTTGGCCCATCACCAGCTGTGAACCTCCCACATTTCAACCTTGTTTGGGGGTTCACAGTTGAATACATGCACGCCGTGCTGTTGGGGGTGGTCAGACAGATCACAGAACTGCTCTTCAGCTCCTCCAACTCTCAAGAGCGGTACTATGTCGGTAAGTTTAGAAACAAATTTTGGGCTGCATTTGGGCTACAACGTTACATTAGACATTTATAGGCAAATGCCTAAACTTGTCACTTGAGCACTGCCCTCAACTCAAACTGCAGCTGTAAGTTCTTCAAGGCTCATCTCACATCATGTAATGACATTTACGTCCAGTGTTACATAGTCCTGTCACATGGAAGAAGCGGAGGAGGCCAGCTTACTATATAAAGTATATCAGCATCAATGGCATTTTCTTCCTCGTTGGGAATGACTTCTTTCATTTTTGTTTAATAGGAGTCCTTTGTATGTTCTTTGCTTACTTTTCAAACTTCCCAAAGTATGGGGTAGGTAGTTATGCAACAATGGTGCATGCTCAGTATGTCACGGTAGCTTAAATAAGAGACTTTGGCAGCAAACATCAGGAAAATCTCCTGTTTCATTCTTTTTAATTCAGGGTGCCAATTTCAAAACTATTTGTACAATCTTTAAATAACTTTTAGCACAAGGAAGGAAAAGGGGGAGGAGGTATAATGTCAGTTCACTACACAATTCTAGAGATTTCACAACAGAACAGTGAGACACCCAGCCAGTTGGAACCAGATTATTACATCTGTCACTGTGGCTTCCAGGTACTTTACTAGCTTATTAATTTGTGGAAGAGCTCTAAGAATTGTGAAGACTAATCGTCGAATTCACAGACCTCACTTCACTTGAGGCGCCCCTCCACTTCCCCTCGGCTTCCTTGAGGAAATAAAGGGGCGCCTCAATTGGAGTGAGGTTTGTGAATTCGGTGGGAAGCCTCGTAAGACTTCTGCAGACTGACTGCACTGAGCAATAAGACGAATAATTGGGCTGGATTGTGTAACATAGGAAGTTAAAGCGGGAAAAGAGCATGGGCAAAACTGGGAAGCTAAACCACGCAAGGCAATTTGTGCTTTGTTTCATCTAAACTAATCTTTTTTGCTGCGCTTTTTGCCATACTTAGCAGGCAGTGTGAACTGATTTCACTTACATATTGGGAGGATTCCACCTTAAAGCTAGGCATTTGTATAAGAAAACCAAGTGTATGTTTTATCAGAGTAATGGCACATGGAATTTGCACTCTTTTTATGAGGGATAATTTATCTAAGCCAATTGTTTCATATTAATTGATCAGTGCCAAAATTATGCTCCAATTTTCAAAAACAGGCTGCCAAATGCTTTTATATATTTAGCAACTTTTTATTTTGCAGGACACACTGCCTCTCTTGCTGTCATCAACAGCCGGCTGGCTGAAATCAAGCCACCACACAGCTTCACGAGACTCCCAAGGGCACTGAGCACACGGACATTCTGGAAGGCTTCCGAATGGCGCCATTGGCTCCTGTACTACTGGCTTCCCTGCATGTACGGGGTCCTTCCGGACCAATACTGGCTGCACATAAAGAAGCTGGTGGAGGCCATCCATGCACTTTTGAGGGACACTGTAACTCCAGCATCCATTGTTGTTGCTGGTGAGTACTTCCCCCTTCGGTTTCTTTGTGTCCTGCTTCAGGCCAGCCTTAAAGGATACTACAACGAAATTTCGGCACTAATGTTTTGGTGTATATGTGTTCAAAGGAGCAGTATCACGTCGGACACACCAATATCCTGTTAAAAGAGACATGAAAGGGAACTGTAAAAGAAATTGAACGATTACCAAAGAGCACCTGGTGGATGTCGCTAATGCCTCATTTGTAATGCTCGTCTAGGAACCTTGACTGGTAGTGACGATGCCTGTCTCGCCTCCGGCCATCACAAGAGAAGAGGGGAAGGCGGAACTCCCCTCTTACCGAGAATCTCTTTTGTGTGTCTCAAAAGT